TAAATTAGATTTAAGAGTATAGAATTGTGAAATATAAATACAAATAACAAAAAATAGACGATTGGTTCGAATAAGGTAATTTAATATAGGGTATCTATTAATTGAGTGCCGATACTTAAGGGTGTGAATCCTTGGGTGTTAAAGTTTTAAGAAAAAAATAACTATTTTATTTTGCCCAAAAAAAAAGTGTTTCCACTCATGGTGGGTTCCTACCAAATTTCAACAAAATATCAAAAGCAGTTTCAATAAACTGGTTTTTATTTTCTTACGCGAAAAGGGTGCGTCGTACGAAAGTACGTCTATAAACCAAATTTGTTCCAAAATAAATAAGGATTTTAAAGATAATTTTGGTTTTTAGAAGAAGCAGTAGCGTACCATATTTTTGTTCAAAAATATTCAGTTCAAACCCGGTACGGACGTCACTAGTAAAAATTTAGAAGTCTTTTACGACAAAAAGGCGGGATTGAAAGTGAAAGTTTAGTCTGTTGGTACATAATATACTATATTTATATATCTAATTTTTATTATTACACTGAATGTGACATGGCTTTTTTGCTTGCCGTTTTTGGATTAACAAAATATTATTTTAATGATTTAAAATAAACTGCCAATAATAATAATTATCTGTACTTAAACATATACAAAATGTTCATAAAACGACGCATCAAGAAAGCACCAAATTATTAAACTTTTAATTTACGTAACAAGGTATTAAAAGTAATTTTAAAAAACCGACTTTAAAATCGTGCTGATGCCATCACCACATCTTAACCAAATTTATATGGGATCACCCCTGAGGTACCCCCTTACTAACGAAAAGAATTATAGAAATCGGACAAGGTGGTAAAGAATTATCGCTAAACATACATAAAAAATGAAAAGTTTGAGGATTTTCTCATGGACCTAATTATTAGATTTTGACCAAAATTAAAAGGGACTATCCCGGAAGTATCCTCTTTCCAGCAAAAAAAAAGAATCATTTAAATCGGACATTGTGTTAAAGAATTATCGCTGAACATACATAAAAAAAATATATACAGACGAATTGAGAACCTCCTCCTCTTTGAAGTAGGTTAAAAAGGATATAATAATCTATACTAATTGTATTAACTAAAAAACTACTATCTGGAGTTGTATACATTTTCTTAAATTAATCTTATATGTAAAAATGTGGGTTCGGTTCCTGTGCAGCCAAATTTATATTTATAATACAGAATTTTTGAAATAAATAAAGTTTTAGGTTTAATTAAACACCAAGTTTTATCAGGAATAACACTTTCTGAGAAAAGTAACATATAAAAAGCAGACTTTTTGCGAGCCACTATATATATTTTAGAGGACAATCCATATTATTTTAGAAAAATAAATAAAATTTTTGTATAATCACAATCACATAAATGTGATTTATCTTTTAGAATATTGTATATATTTGTCAAAGTTTACTATTTAAAAAAAAAATTTTTCTTAAATTTTTTAACACGGTACAAAATATCTTAATTTGTTTGTAGTTATCGATTTTAAACGAGGCGGAGACCGGACATCGTCGAAGAGAAACAGCGAAATTAGTAAAGAATTTTAACTTGATTAAAGAGCGTTTTTTCTCTTTCCATTTCCTATATAAACTAATAGACCTTTCTGAAATCGGTATTCGGTGACTTTTCTTCTGATATGATTTACATAAAAAAACAAAAACTGACTTATTATTTTTGTGTAATAAATATATGTTGTTATTTTCACAATTTTCGACTACTCTTTGTTTCCAAAAAAGAAATACGATGTTCTTCTGTAGATATTAACACATTCTTTATTTGGCTTTTTATTATTTTTTTTTTTTTAAATATTCTTTAGTATTTTCATAATTTGGGAAACAGTATAGCATTGAAAATTCTATACCTGAAAAATTGTGAGTACGCTTTTAATTAATTGTCTGTTTTTTTTATCTCACAATGTCTCGGGTAAACGAAGTTACAAAGAAAAAGTTAGTATTCAATATCATCCAGACAAAAAACAAAAACATGTTTAAATGAATATATTAAATAAATTATGAGTATATTTATATAGAGATATATTTATTAGTATTATGGAAATAATGTTTATAACAATAAACTTTTGTTCGACATTTCTATCAATTTGTAAAGATAACTCTTGTATAATCATAAGGACTTGCAGATATCACAGTTCGAAATTCTTTTTATTGAACATAATACTTTTTTTGGAATGAAAGCATTAGTTCCTGTTTTTCAGTTAAGCTCCATAAATCAATTCATATTTTAATCTAAACGCAACTTAAGCGCAGTAAAGTTGCAACAACTAAACAATATAGTAAACTTTTCGAAAATTTCTAAGTTAAAATTAAAATTTATATTTAAAATGAAATAAGTTAACTAAAATTTTTGACCAATATGAAGTTAATAAAGTTATAAATAACGTCGTTACAAAGATTCATGTGTGAATTTTCAATTTCTATTGATGATAGTTACTCATCTACGTATTACAATATCAATACATGACTTGTCTTTGACACAAAACTTCTAATCCGAATCAAAATCTTGAAACTATTATTTGGGTACTTAAAAGTGTGGTCCACTAGTTGATGTAGCCTTTTAAAACATTTGGTATAATAATAATTATATATCAATTACCACTGCCACTGGTAAAATGCTAAATTTATAATAGTGTACTATAATAATAAGACATTAATTATATCTTAAATGAATCGCCTACTACCATGTTTTAGAAATAAATAAAATGTAATTCTTAAATTAATAAAAATATTCAAAATAATTTAAGATTCCTTGCGTTATGTTAATAAACATTAAACAAAATTTCTAACGAATTATTTAGTATTCTGTCTCGTACTTCCATGTCTCTATTAGCTTTGCTGTCAACAAGTTCCGGCAAGGCATATTGCATATAAAAAATTTTAATTTTATTTTGTATCTTTTCTTCCCAAAAGCTGTCATTATGAGATATTTTTTCCACTTTTATTCCTCCAGAAGTCCAAAAGCACAAAATGCAAAAATCCATTTGTGTTATGTGCAGCTAGCCTTGAATTTGAAAATACCAATAGTGGTTCTCCTTAATGGTATTGTCCTTTTTACAGTTAGCATTCAGCTCCATATGGACATTTTAACTCTATCATATAGTTTTGTTTTTTTTTTAATTCCATCCAGACTGGCAGCAACATAATCAAATTCGAATTCAATAAAATGTCCACATTTAAAAACTTTTACTTGCAAATAATTTTCCATATTTTATTTTGCTCTGAATTTATGGTCCCTGCCATATCGGGTGGCTTTACAAATAAATAAAAGATTTTAGGAAATTTTTTACAAATTTCTCCAAATTTTAAAGCAGTGACTTGTCTTTTATTGTGCCACAATGCACAATCAGCTTGTCAAAATCGTTTTTTCTCATTTATAGAAATTGGATAACTTTTTAGAAAATTTTCTCTTGCAACGCGCCTCAAAGGGTGCGACAGATCAAAGCCATGCGCGAAAGCAAGAAAAAATATTTACATTACTTTAACGGATTGAAGAGATATTAACATGCTGGAATTAATAATTATTGTTAACTCGAAGAGGTATTCATTAAACAAAAACATATTTATAATTCACATCTCAGTGCATACCTTCCAATTTCGAGTATATATTTTTTTAATAAATAAATGATAAAATTACTGTATGTAAACAATAACAACATGAATTCAAATCACTAAATAGTAGAAAAAATATATATTTTGTTGGTGTCACCATCTAGACGAAAAAGCTTTTAACGTATTCCTATTTTTATTGTAACAAAAATAAATGCTCCTGTAGGCAAAAATTAAATATTGTTCTCTTCTAGCATTTCTTAACATTTCTATTTCTTTTCGTTTCTTTTCTTAGATTTTTTTCAAAAGAGACTGATTCATATTTTTAAAGTGACTCCAGAGAGGTATGGGCTAAGCCTTTACCTGTACTTACATAAAATTTCATTTAGTAAAATTAAAAAATAATCCGTCAAATTGGTGTACTATGAAACCCTTGCGTATAATATATATATATATATATATACCAATCTTAGTATTAAAGAAATAAATTACGTAAAAAATAAGTGTACATATACGTAAAATTTATTCGTCCCTCGTAAAACATCAGTAAAATATATTATAAATTGTTTTCATTCACAAATATTAATTTCTTAAAAATCTAACAGAGGCGCCACTTTCCAGACGAAAAATCTTGCCATGTAAGGGTTTCGTAGTACCCCACTTTTAAAGTTTATTTTTGACTTATTCTGAAAGAAAAAAATATGTACATGTAGGTAAAGGTTAAATCTATGCTCCTCTGGAGACACTTTTTTAAAATTCAATTTAGTTTTTTCTAACAAAAATTGAGAAAACGAGTAAATAAAGTCGAGTTTTGTATTTTTTTTTAGAAAAAACAGTTTTAAATTTTAAAAAAGTGTCTCCAGAGGAGCATAGATTTATCCTTTACCTACACGTACATATTTTTTTCGGTCAGAATAAGGCAAAAATAAACTTTAAAAGTGGGGTACTACGAAACCCTTGCATGCTCCGCTCTACAGCCAAGTAAATACTCCTCTTAAAGTTTGTTTCAACTTTTACCTTAAATAATCAGTTAGTGTTTCATCTTGTTGGATTGTAGTTATAACTAGTATCCCAGTCCTTTTTTTTCTGTCTCCAGTTTGATTGTTTCCCCTTTTTTTTAATTCTCTGTATCGTGGTTGTTTCTATTAAACTCTTAAGTCCGTCGTTTAATAGACTTATCATCTTTTATTTTTGAAATTATTCGCATTTTTAAATGAGTTGGAATTGTAGCAGTGCGTTTTGACAAACTTGACAAGTCTAACTGATTGTAATTTTTAAAAATCAAGTTAGTTTTACATAAAAAAGTGTACCAGTTTTATATAACACGAAATGTATCACTCAATCACTGACCATCTATACGATAGTGATAGAGACTTATCTAATCTCAAATAATTCTATTTTGTTACAGTTAACAACAAAATTAGCAAAGAATGAACTGGAAGCATATGCTTCAGCCGGTTCAATAGCCGAAGAAGCACTGTCTCTAATAAGAACAGTCACTGCGTTTGGTGGACAACAAAAAGAAACAGAACGATATAACAAAAATTTAGTTTTTGCTAAAAAAAACAACATACGAAGATCAATGTTGTCTGCATTAGGATTTGGAATATTATGGTTTTTAATTTACTGTAGTTACGCACTTGCCTTTTGGTATGGTGTCAGGTTGGTTTTAAAAGATAGAGGTGATCCCAATGGAGTATACACACCTTCAAATATGGTTACTGTAAGTATTTATTTGATTTGATATTTAGATTTAATTTCATTGCATTTTGACAATTATACATTTTTTAGGTATTCTTCAGTGTAATGACAGGTTCCATGAACTTTGGTATAGCTTCTCCGTACATTGAAGCTTTTGGAATTTCAAGAGCAGCAGCTACAAAAATTTTTAGCGTTATTAATCACAAACCCACTATTAACTTGTCTAAAGGAAATGGAGTAAAACCTAATTCATTTAAAGGAAATGTCCAATTCAGAAACGTAGCTTTCCACTATCCTTCAAGAGCAGATGTACCCGTAAGTTCAAATTTGTTACATCTAAACTATTGCTTTATTAAAAATAGTTTTGACTTATCATATTATTCGTTATTGATAATTTTTTGTAGATTTTGCAAGGGCTCAATATAAACATCAAGTCTGGTGATACAGTAGCCCTTGTGGGTAGTTCTGGTTGTGGAAAATCTACTGTTATTCAATTAATTCAAAGACTTTATGACGCAATATCTGGAGAGGTAACTAAACTAACTTCTATTTTGTGTAACACTGTAGGAGATATGAAATCGAATAGGGGATTATCGTATGCTAAATTTAAAAAAAGTAGCTCATTTGATTAAATTAAAATACAAACAGAAGATATAAAAAATTAATTTCACATCAGACCAACATTAGTGTGCCTTCAACACATTTCGCATAAAACAACTTAAAATAATATAATTTTTTACACTTTGTTTTGAAGTGTTGCTAGTTGCAATAAATTTTATTTAATCAAATTTTTTTTCCTAAAAGAAGGGTAAATCGTATGTACTTGATAAACCAATGTTTGGCTGGTATTTAACAATTAATAACTTTTACAATTTTATTGCAAATAAAATTATCTTACATTAATTTTATATTTCTTGATATTTTTTAGGTTCTTCTGGATGGAGTCAATATTAAAGATCTAGATTTAAAATGGATGAGGAAACAAATAGGTGTTGTTGGACAAGAACCCGTATTATTCGGAACCACGGTAATGGAAAATATCAGGAATGGAAAAGATGGAGCTACTGATGAAGAAATAATATCTGCTGCAAAGAAAGCAAATGCTCATATTTTCATTAAAGCTTTACCTAATGGCTACCATACGTTGGTGGGCGAAAAAGGTGCCCAACTTTCTGGAGGCCAAAAACAAAGGATTGCAATTGCTAGAGCGTTAGTTAGGAGTCCGACTTTATTACTTTTAGATGAAGCCACTTCTGCTTTAGATAATACAAGTGAATCTAAAGTACAAGCAGCTTTGGATGCTGTAAGTATCTGAAAACAAACGAATATTATGTCAAAATCATATACTTATATTGAGTACGAAGGTGAAAAGGAAGGTCCTTTATTTAAAATTAATTTATTGGAAAAGTGACAACTTCATCGTCAGGCACACCTAAATGGACTCAATGAGTGGTATTAATAAAAATCAGTAGATACCTAATACTTAGGGTATCATAAGTTAATACTGAAAAGTATATTAATAAATTTTAAGTACAAACTGATACTTAAAATTTATACTGATACAGTATAAGTTTGTACTTATGCTGACCAGTTGTTACTTAAATCTATATTAATAAACGATAGGTTATACTTAATAAATTAAGTATGTTCTTATACATTTTTAAGTTTGCTTCTTAGTATGCCAATAGTGCTTGCTTAAGGTATATTCGAGTTTGTTTAGAAAACTTTTGTCGTGCAACAAGCTCCAAAAGTTTATAAAAAAAAACAGACGAGAAGATCCTCGTGATCACGATTATATGAAATTATTTCGTTTTAACCCCGAAAGTGTGGGGGTGGTTAACGACACATTTGTTTGACACTGATAGCAGAGAAATCAGAGGCGGTGCCATAGACAGTATCACCAAAATGAATATATTTTTTTTTAACCGACTTCAAAAAAGGAAGAGGTTCTCAATTCGTCGCAATATTTTTTTTATGTATGTTCAGCGATAATTCTTTAACACGGTGTCCGAATTCAATGATTCTTTATTTGTTAGAAAGGGGGTACTTCACGGGTGGTCCCATATAAATTTTGTCAAAATCTAATAATTGGGTCCATGAGAAAATCCTCAAATTCTTATTTTTTTATGTATGTTTAGCAATAATGCTTTACCACCTTGTCCGATTTATAGATTCTTTTTTTGTTAGTAATGGGGTACCTCAGGGGTGGTCTTATATAAGGTTTAGATGTGATTATAGCATTTGCACGTTTATAAAGTCGTTTTTTTTTTAATTTTTAATTTCTAATACTTTTTGAGATATATTGCTGATCCAGGTTGATCTTTACTTTCCTAGTTGACTGGCAAATAATAAAATAAATATGTTATTTATTTAATTTTTTATTATATTTGATTTTAAATATCCAGATTGGTGTAGCAGAAGATATTGGTGTAAGTCAACCAACGGAATCAAATGTGGAATATCTTTTGAGCCAAAAAATTATTGAAAAATCTCATATTTGAATAAAGTTTCCTTACGTATGGTTGTACTTTCTTTATTATCTATTTAATTAATTACCTTTGAAACCGTAGGACAACAGAAAAAACAAAATTTTGCGTTCCAACTGCTATAGGTGCAATTGATTGTACGCTGATATGAATTAAAATTCGAGAGACGCTAAAATGGTGGTTCCCACCTTATCAAGACTGAGGACCACAAGGGTAAACTCATAGCGTAACAAAAACAAGAAATGATTTAACTTAGAACGAAAGACCGAAAGCCGATAGTAGTATTAGGACGTTGAATTTTTTGGTTTGTGAAGCATTGGCATTAATTAGGTTAAATGATTTTCACAAGCCTTAATTTTTAAAACCATTCTATATCGCCTTTTGATTAGGGTTTACAAACTTGTTTGAGTAATTTATCCAATAATAATTGGCCCATTTACCTCTTAAGCTTGCTCATGTAAAATATTTGGGCTCCTTACTTCGCCTATTTATATAATAATTATAATAATTATTATTTATGGGGTTGCGACAGAGAGCCAGGGCACCTATCCTCGACTAGTGCGTTTAAGCGCTCATTTTGAAGAGATGAGAGTGATTCAATGCAAAGACGCATTAGAAACCATATTCTTAACCCTTCGTAACTGTGCCTTCGTAATTTTTTTCATAAATGCGAATGGCAACTTGGCAACCATGTATGATCGACAATTATTTATGTTAAATTGTCTGCTAGAAAGGGGAGTCAAAGTTCACACCGCTTGTTTTATGACAATTATTCGTAAAAAAGAAGCAATATGGTTTTCAGCATGAAGTCATGGTTTTGGGTTGTTTTTTGATGTACTGTCTGGCTATACATAGTTTGCAGCGTTATAAAATCGAAAATATTAGTAAAAAGACACATATAATTAACCGAAACAACCTGATGAAGGCTTGATCAGAAAGTCTGAAAGGATCTTTCCTATCATCATAAACTCTTCGAGGATGATTATTGGCCTCTTCTAATTCGTAATAAGATATTTAAAAAAATTATATTTGCCATCATACCTATAGGTCACCATCAATTTATGAAACAAAACAAAAATACTTTGCAATATTAAAACGTGCATCCAGTTAGACCTTCGCAAGCTCTTTGGACCTTCGTATTTGAATGCGAAGAGCAAAAACCCACTCGCTGTCAAATGCGCACCCGCAATATAAATTCGAACGACCAAGAATAGCTACAACACGCATTTGAGCAAATACGCATTCGCATTTAGTAAATGCGCATTTGCATTGATTAAAGCACCAGTCGAGGATAGGTGCCCAGATGTTGTCGAAGATGAAGAACCTGTTGAACTACTTGAACTTCGAAGGGAAACTCAAGTCATATGCAACCGTTTAACCTTAATTATTTACGCCAATCAAAATAACTAACATCGTGCGTTTTTTGTATTTTTTTTTGTAATCAAATTTCGATTAAATAAAAAAATACTTAAGAATAATCAGTAGATACTTCTAAGTATCAGCATTTATTTTTTATTATACATTTCAGTATTTACTTAATGCTGATACTTATAAGTAAGTACTTATAAGTAAATACTGATTTTTATTAATACCACCCAATGTATTGAAAGGTGAAAATTATTTAATACAAAAATTAAAATTTAACAAAAAAAAAAATAGAACAAAGAACAAAAGTGGGGAGGTTAATAATAATTTGACTTACCATGACATATTCATTATGGATAAGCTACGTAATTTTAACATATATGTATAAAGTTACTGTAAATATATATAAAATTATGTCGAATAGATTTTGTTTTTATTTTAGAGTTTAAAAAACCAAACCAAACTAGAAGTGCTTACTTGAGGTTGGAGAAACCGAAAATATTATTTGAATATAAATAAAACAATAACAAAACAAGGTAACCATCAAACAAAACATTTTAAAATTTTTATAAAATGAGGACTGGATAAATTAAAAATTAAAAATGGTTCATAATCAATGAATTAAGTTTTTATAAAAACAGTGAATAAAGTTAAGAATGTCTTAATTTTTTTATTCAATTTTCACTTTTGTATTAAATAATTTAGGTGTGCCTGATGATGAAGGAATCACTTCAAAACCGGTCGCCAACGAATTGACTTTGTGAGAACTAAAGGACCTTTCTTTTAACCTTCGTATTCAATCCCAACCTCGTCCCTATTATACTAAATATTATACTTATATACATTTTAGGCTAGC